AAAATGTCCCTAATTATTAAAGTAATGTAAAATGATAATTGTTAAAGTTATATATAATTATAAAAATGTTTATAAAAAAAATTAATTATTTAATTATTTATTAATATAGATTAAAATAAAATTATTTAATTATTTATTAATATAGATTAAAATAAAATTATTTAATTATTTATTAATATAGACTATTAAATTTTTAAAATTAATTTTATCATCTTAAATTAATATTATTGTTATAATAGATTTTAATAAACGTTTTCCAATGTTTTTAAATCCTTTTTATTATTATTAACAGTAGTTATACAAAATATATTATTATGATTAATTGATTTTTTAATTAATTTTAATTATTTTAATTGCACCTTAAATAAAATTCATTTAAATCAATTACACCTGAAATTAATAATGAAATAAAGCGAGGATAAAATTAATATTTTATATCAATGGCCTTCAAATCTTCTCCTATCAACGGTTGATAAATTGATCTTGTATCCTGCAAATCACCTTATTCTCTTCCTTTCAAATTGTTGCAAGTGAACATGAATTTATCCAACAATCCATCTTTCCCAATCTTCTTAAACAGTGAAATCATCCAAGTGAACACTAACAAATGTTTAAAAAATGAGTGAACAATTTTATAAAATGTTTAAAAAAATGTCACCATCACTAAAAAGTGTGTTGTTGCGATGACAATACAACCTTTGCAAAAAGAAAATAAAACATTTAAAAATAATATTTGAAAATATTTTATTGATTAATAACTAACTTTTTTGCATCAATAATATATAAAAAAGTTAAATTTATTTCTCATAAATACTTGTTTTTATTTGTTAAATATAATTAATTCAAACATCAAATATCGATACTGCTCTCTCAATACGAATAAACTCATTTGTATGTTTTGGTAATAGTTATAGTTTATTTATGTTTTCTGTGGTATGTTTCTTATTATGAATCTGAAGTAGTTTTTAATGTTTTGTATTTTTTTAATTTATTTTTAATAAATTTTATGTAATGATAAATAATTAATGGATTTTGAAATATTAATTAAGATTTCAAATTTTATAATAATACCTAACATGACTTCGTTTGAAAAATAAAAAAAAATCATACCTTATATATATTTCAAATTTATTTGTTTAAAATATATGTTGATATTAATAATTACTTAATATAATATCATATTTTAATAGTATTTAACTATTATAAGATTTCTAACATTGAGTAACAATAAACCGAGAAATATACATGGTATAATTGCAATTATTATGTTCTAAATATACAAATATCAAACTCAGTGTCAAAACTCTTGCATTTTCTCTCATTCAGCGTTAACAACCTCTCACTCGATTAATTAATTTCAATTAAATGTTAAACTTGTAGTGGTAACAGTTGTTTAACCGGGTGTCTGTCATCACTTAACTTCAAACCATTTACACTTTGATATGCTTAGTGAAACTGCGCTCAACGCCATACCAGAAAAGTCACAGCTTTAAATTTTGTGGTTTGAAGAACTAAGGACTTGTGCAAATGATCAAATTGTTATTTTGATTCATGCATAATTAAAAACTATAAGTTATAATGAATACCAAATTACTTAAATGGTTAGATTCTCAATTCCTTAACTTCACATCAAACAACCAAAACACACATACATTCAATCAACAATCACAGCAACAATTCTACGTACAAACACATCAATTTTAGACTTAATAAAATATTCATCACAATTTATCAAATCAAAAAAATGATAATTAGCTGTTTTAAGGAATTTAGAATGATCCCCTAGCCCGATAAACTCTATTTGCCTATACAATCTACAAAAATATAATCAGGATACACTAAGGATCATTCATCAATAAAAAGTACTATGAAGAATTTAAAAGACATGCGTTACTAAATTTTTCACATGAATAAGAAAAATGTAAACTAAGAATAAGAGAAAAAATTAATTTTCTTTTTTACGAATTGATCGGACAAACTTCAAAACTTTACCATAATAATCACTAAAAAAGTCTATAATATTTAAACAAATTAATTGTTAAAAGACTCATATAAATAATATATTTTAAATAATAAAACTCTTTTAAGTAAATTTTTATATATACTTTTTCGACCTTTAATATTAAAATAAACAAGTTTTAATATTTATAACATATTATCATTTATAACATCATAGTTTAAATGCCGTTACACTTACTTCTTTAAAATATTATATAACAATATCGTGATTATCATGACATATTTTACACAGTAAATTAAGAAGAACTTACGTTAAGATAATTTTTAAGAAAAATATTATAAAAATAAATAAATGTGTCATTAGATTTATATAAAATTAATTGCAATATATTTCCATACGCTATTCAATATGTTTTTAATACAAAATTTACTATATTATATTAATTGTGAATGTGGAACTCTGAATTTAATTGCAGAACAGTGCTAGACAAATCTAATTATCTGCATTTGACTTTTCTTTCCAAGAGAAAAGTTCTGTTTTGTTTTTTCGGAAACCACATTACATTACCTAAGACAAGGCTTTTCTCGTAATTTCATACGGTCCCTTGGAATCCGCATCTACATCCACCTTTGTGTTCACAATTTACATGTTTCATGATATTTTTTTAATATAAAAAAAGGGAAAAGAAGCAGAGCAAGAACGAACACCTCAAAATCTCTGCACTTGTTCATCTTCAACTCAGCTACTCAACAACGACACCAACATCCTCATCCACTCCGCACACTACTTCTGTTGTCTCAAGGTCTGTCTCCTTTCTCTCCCTCTCTCTCCTCTTCCTACTCTAAACACACACAAATCTCAAAGTACATACCCATGTTTGTGTCTGTAAACAAGTTGAAAAATTGGGGTAGCGGAGGATTAGATCTTCACCTTAAACAATTGACCCAGAATTTTTTTAGATTCCAAGAGTTTGTTTCTGCGCCTTTTCATTTATGGGTTTCTGGAATTTGTTTGATCAAGAATTCATGATTGCGGTGCTGATTGTTCCCGCACTTGCTTCTGTTTCGGATTTAGTGCTTTCGAGATCTGGTCTGAGAGAGTTACAATTTTTTTTTTTATGATGCTTTGCGAAACATGAGTAATTGTTTTGTCATGGAAATTTGTAAGTTGGCGTAAGTGTCCGAGTGAAACCCGAGTAATTAGACTGGAGAGTTTAATTGAACAAGTGCCAATTGTTTAGTCTGATTAATTGTTCTTTTTCCCACTCATTTCACATCCAATTTTCATTTTTAATGGTAAAGTTTTAATTTTCGAGTGAATGCGGTTTGGACGCATAATCAACTCCACTCGTTTCTTTGTTATCTTTGGTTTGTTCATCTTTTCTGTTCTCACATCTCTATTTCTTTATTTTCTTTTTTTCGGCTGATGTTACCGACCGACCGGTTCATGTGATCCTGATATGTAGATGAATTCTAACAATGATTACAATGATATTGTCTATTCAAAATTCTGTATGAATTAGAGGATTTTTATCTAATATTTATGAGAATCCTGGACTGGAGTTAATGATGTTTTAGTAAAGAGGTTATGGGAATTGTGAATTGCTTTCTGCAGATGCTATGTTGGTGATTTAGTATTCCATTTATGCTTAATTTGTGAGTTCAGGCCGAAATGATTGAGTTCGATAACCTTTGGCCGGGGTTGTATCCATGGTGGTTCTTGATGATGAGTGTGAACTTCTCTCTGAAATATTTCGCATGGGGTGAAAGATTATTAGCCCTTCACATTAATCAGAACTTATGATGACAGTTAGTACTGCTAACTAATGACTAACACTAGCGCTGGGGTGTTTGGTAGGGGGATTCTTCTAGGTTTCATAGAAATCTTGAGTTGGGAATGTCAAATGTGTTTACTTTGTATTTGTATGATTTATTTTTAAATGTTTTAAAGAAAAAAAATTGAGAAATATTTTAACCATTTCTCAATTTTCAATAAAATATTCCTTTTTAGAGGGTCTTAGAAATCCAAGATTCCGAGGAAGATGAGAAAATTTTAGCGATGCACAAGATAACATATCAGGAAAATAGGATTACTTGGAAACTTGATTTTTGAGAAACATAAATCATCAGTTGTTAGAAATAAAATTTTGCATACCAGGTGCCCTGTATAGGAATGGTATCACTCTCATTAATTTGTTGAATAACAAAAGAAAGTTGTCTTCCTCAATTTGTGATTAAGCTGTACTTGTATATTCCCAAAAAATGGCTCCTAAGAGTATGGGTATATGAACTTACTCATGAACTAAAATCTTCATTTTTTAAATTCTTAAATAATTGAAATTTGTACCATTCTTAATTTTTGTGGCTTATAATATTGGTAATCTTTGTTTAAAGTAAATCTTTGTATGTTTCTGCATCTATTAATTTTCAATATCATGGTATGTTAGAAAGGAGACTTGACATATTGGCTAGAAGAGGAAGGTTGGGAATGAAAAAGATGAGAACCCAAAAATATATAAGCGTGATGAACAAAAAATAAAACACTAAACAGTAGTGAAAATGATTAGAAAGAAGATTTGGATTTAGGGGATGGTATTTACATGCATATAGTCTGCATTATGTAAACTATATAGAAAATTTTGGAACAGCTTTCCCGCTATAATGTTTTCAGTGTCGGTGGTTATACTACTAACAGGGATTGTAAAGCTTGTTTGGATTTCCAGTTATCCTCTCTATTTTTGAGTTTTTATTATTCCTTTTCATATGCTGCTATTATTTTTTCACTCCAATGGTTTAATCTTGCAACTGGTTTTTGGTTTGGTTTCTGTAGGTATTTCTTTACACTGAAATTCAGTGAGGATTTTGAAAAACCTGACTTTATGGACGACAACGACTCTAACATAAGGAGATGGGAGGATCTGGACATAGATATTTTGGTGAAGATTTTTCAGTTGCTTGACATTTTTGAGTTGACGTCTGGCATCTCTCGTGTTTGTAGTGCATGGCGCATGGCATGCTGTGATCCACTTCTTTGGAAAACGCTAGATTTGTCAATGCTAAAATCTAATTTCATCAAGATCCCATTAGAGCCATATGTTTATGTTGATGAACGATCTGATAGGATATTAACGCGATTGTTGAAGATCTCTCTGGGTCTCAGCCGGCAGAGTATAATGACTTTGATCTTCCATTTCAATTTGTACGTAAGTGATGAACAGTTGACATACACCGCTGAAAGGTAACTTCAACTTTCAAAATCATTATATCTATGTGTTAAACGTATAAAGTTAGCATAAACCATATGAAATGAATACACACAGAAGGGTAATCAATGATATTTATAACCTTGTGGAATATGATTTGTTGGTTGATCAACTTTCCTTTGGATTTCTGGAAAACATTTGAAAGTTAGTAGGATTGTGTAGTTGTATTACATTGTTTAGAAAAGAAGGGGACAAAACAACCAATGTTGGTAATTAACACACCTTAAAATTAGAGATTGCGTATGTATTTTTGTGGAAAGAGCTAATAATGTCCCTTTGCCAGGTGCCCGCGACTCAAACGACTTGTTCTGCCAGCTTGGAACAGAATCAAGAAAACAGGAATGTGCAAGGCCATCCGGTGCTGGAAAGAGTTGGAGTCCCTGACAATGCCTAGTATAGCAAATCCACCGTATATTTTGGAGGAAATCTCAACCCACTGCAAGAACTTTAGTGAACTCAAGATTATGGGGCCATGTGATGTTTTCTTTGCTTCATCTCTGGCTGCGTTTCTTCCAAACTTGAGAGTCTTGAGCCTTCGATGCTCAATGCTTTTTACGGATGTTCTTGTTCTCATTCTTGACAGCTTACAAAACTTAGAAGTGCTCAATATATCACACTGTGTTCTGATGGAAGCCCTTCCAGCTCCTCAACATAAAAGAATTGTTAAGGAAATTGATGTGACTATTCGTCAGAAGGCTTCTCGGTTACGTGAATTTCTCACATGCATGGATGACAGTTGCGTCATGTGCCAACGAACAAGAACTGACGAAGGATTGGTTAGGTGGTACAAGTACGAGGAAGGGCTTTGGAAAACAGACGAGGTGAGGTCTCTCACGCTTTGAGCAAAAGAAAGCAATCTGATAGTGATCTGGTCTTCATCATTTGTGACATTTTCTGTTGTTTGATGCTGCTACCTTAAGTGTAGATCCAAATAAACAAAGTTTGATTCTTACAAATGAATGCTGGTGCACCCTTTAGGAGTTAGCCAAATCTTGTAACTGTATATAGGAATAATAAGTTTTGTTTTTGTAGTTGGTTTTATTTTGAGAAGTGTTTTCCATCATGAAAAAAATGATGAGACGATAATTTTGGTTCTTTACAGAGTGTAGAGGAGATTAGTTTTGGGCTATTCTTCTTTAGTTTATCATTTACCAGTCAAGTAGTCTTTACCGGTTCGAAATGGGAACATTTACATGTTCGGGGTGAATGTAGAACGTTTGCATCCACGTGTTCTCTGTCGGATGCTTGTATTTTGGAAATTTGGTCGGTGGTTTTAAATGCTTGTTTTTTTTTAATGACGTATATTCAAATTCAAATTTTAGATTGCAATGACAAAATAATCCATATAGTGTAAATGGTAACTTTGAATTTTATAAAAACTATTTTAAAAACCACATATATCATGGTTTTTTATTGGTTAACCATAAAAAATTGCATTTTTAGTGCATAAAAAATGCACTCAAATATATAACTTTAGTTTTAACCAATAGGGAAGTCTGTTATGAGTGGGGAACAAATATTGAAAAAGTAAAAGAGTATACTAAAATTGAAGCAACGTGGGGAACAAATATTGAAATTCAATATTGTATAATCTATTTTTTAGTTTTATTAGGTTAAGAATATATACTTCTAAATATTAAAGTATTGAAATAAAGCATATTGAAGAATACCAATTCGATAGGAAGGATGATCAAATAACCTTCGAAAGTATTTATATATAGAATTTGAATGTAAATTTTTAAAGATAACAAAATATTACATTATCTAAAGTAAAACATGAGAATAATGATAACAGGTGTTTATATTCATGTTTATCGATTTCTATATTTTTACATAGAAATCACTATTATTTTTTGGTTATGTTTTTATCTTGTTTATTTAAATTCTTATTAAATTTTTGTGTTTTATGTTTTATCTTTGAGTGTTTTTCTTTTGTCTTGATAATTTTTGTTCAAATCGTTTACATTTTATTTTTCAATCTCTCTCGTTGATCTTGTCAATCATTACTCAGCTTGTTTATGAACTTTCAATTATAGATTTGCCTTTGTTCAATCATTACTCTTCATACTGAATTTCTTTTTATATTTAGAATTATGATATTTGATGCATGTATTGTACTACACCATGTTTATTTTAATGATCAAACATCTTTCATTAAAAATAAGTTCCAAAATAATGTCATTAAAATTAATTTGATATTTATATTTGTTGTGTATATTTAATCCATTCAAAATTTAAAAAGAACATATTAGTCAGAATAAGAAAATTCATATTTTTTTATTAAAGTTTTCTATTTTTACAAAATTTTATCGAAAATGAATTATTAATCCAATATCAAACCAGTGTTGGGTAGGACAAGGAAAAAAATAATAATAATAAAACACTTTAATTTAAACCCTTTTATTTGAGGTGAAAAGTCATTATTTACCGAGTTTCATTCTTGGTTTGGAGAGATTCAAATGGATTTTATTAACCAAAGTTTTGTTACCTATTTCATAATGGGTAATAATTAATATATAAAAGGAATTTTAATGAGATGTATTCATGATATTAAACGTTGCCTTTTTATTCTGTACTCTTTCTTTTGTGTTAATTAGAACAAAATATTTTATCTTTGATTTTTTTAAGTGTTGTATTTACTATAAACCTTTATTTTTATAAGGAAAAATTATTCATAGATACCCAAAAAGGTACATCAACACCTAATATATGTTTAAAAATAAAACAAAAATGATATAATAAATTTATAGGTTATACATATCATTATAATTAAGGGATATAATAGATGTTCACGTCTATAAATACTCGTATTCAAGATTTAAAAAAAATTACAAATAAACTTTATAATTTTTGTTCACTTATGCAGGTAAGCTCCAAAATTCAGTTATGCAAAACACGTCAAACATGTTAATAAATAAGTTAAGAAATAAGTATTATGTGAGTCTGTTTTTACTAATTTTCCACATATCAAAATCGATCATCTGCATTATCATACATGTAAATAAAATTTAGATTCTAACTCCAATAATATACATTTAGTTAATACTATTGATGTGAACAGTAGTATACATTTAGCTATAACATGAAATCAATAAAATTATTTTTTTTACTTAATAGAATTAATCGATTCTTCAATTTAACATTTTTTATAAATTTATTTAAATGTGTTTTTAAAATTATTTAAAAGAATAAAAAAACACTATTTATGTTATTTCCCTTTTTGTATTTTCATGTGTGATACAAACTTTAAATAATCATATTTTAAAATTAATTAATTAATAGACATCACAAGACAAAATAGTTGTTAGAACACAAAGAACACGTGAGGACTGAAAAACAAATATGTGATGTGATGTGATGTAATGGGCTAGACCCATTGGTGTACGATCCACCAATCAAAAATTAAAACACCAACACTTGCAGCTCTTTGGGTTCATCCTTCTTTGGAGACTTCGTCACCTATTCTAAATTCACCCAATCTTTCGTTGGGATTAGATTTCAAAATTTAATTAGATTTTAAATTTTTATTTGATTTAATTAAATATTTTAGTTTAAAAAATTGTTCAATTAAGGCAAATTTACGTTAATGTAATTTTATATATGTTATGTTTGTGATATTTTCTATTTTATTTTCTAAAAATTATTAGTTATAGATAAAAACTATTATTTGTTAAATTATTGTTGTATCACAGGATAATATCAGTTTTATGTGATAACATTAATATTAGAATAATGTTGTCTCTATATAAAGTAGATTAAATTAGTAATTAAATCTAATATTACTTACATACACATGTCAAATATTTTTTTAAAGTTATAATTTTTTTAAATATTAAAAATGTAGATGACACTTGCGATCTTTAAATTCTAATATTT